ATTATTTCATATTATATTTAATTTATATATAAAAAGAAGAAATATGATTGCAAGGATTAATCATCCTTTTAATATAAGATAATTCAATTATCTCAAAATAAAGATGATTATTTTTAATTCATATGATTAAATTTATATATTTTATTATATTTTTAAAAATTATATAAATAATTTAAATTGTATAAAACCTTATGGAAGAATAATTTTGATTAATAAATAAATTTATTTTATCTTAATGCTTATATACATTAAATAAAAAGTATATATTATTTAATCTAATTATATTTATAATATTATTTTATATTATCATATTCATAATCTTGTATATTAAACATGTTATAAAATAATGTTTCATAGTCGAAATGATTGATTCTAGACTTAAAAGAATCAATGTAAGAAAGAATACCGTCAGAGTAGTCGATTGTCTTAGCAAGAATAGTTGATTGCCATGTATTTGTCTCAGTCGACTGCCTTTGCTAAAGCGGTTGACTGCCGTGCATTATATAAAGATACAAACAAAGCTTAACAAAAGAGAAATCGACTGCCTACCCAAAGTCAATGGATTGCCATGCTTTAAGTTATATATAAATTAATTGATAAATTTTCGTTAATCGTTGCTTTTTTTAAAAAATTATAAATAAACTATACTCACTAATTTATTAAATCTATCATGAATATTATTTATTATAAATAAAAAATTTATCTTGCAGAAACGCACGAATCTATTTCAAGTTATCATATAAAAGATGGAATCGGCCCAAAAAGTAGAACAGCCGGGGTGAGCTGCTCCGGGCTTAAATATCAAGATCATCGTCTCCCACGATATGGGCCATTGCTCAACTCAACACGCAGTGGCCATTTTATAGACCGACGGGGTTAGAATGTCAAATGAGACAAATTGTAAATTTTCGCTAAGCACCCAACCACTTCCCTAAGGAGAAAAACAGAAGTACTGCTCTTTTTCTCTTTTCTCTACTCTCTCTTCATTTCAGCGGAAATAAAGCCTACATCTCATTTTTTGTTATAATCTAATAACTTTCATTTTCAACCTAATATTTCCCATGTGAAGTGGAGGATGCCACTGCAATCAAAATCCGAATTTCAAAGAAAAGATGCGGATAGAAAATTACCTCTCTAACAATGTTTGTGCCATGTGAGATCGGTTGCATCCCAGTCAAGCTCTAGAAATACAACAGTAAAGCTGATTAGGCTATAAACATCACTCTTGTCTGTCAACATATGTGTTAGAAAATACTGGGGGTCGAGGTAACCCTCCTAAGAGAAAACAAATATTAGAAATAGAGATGTTATAAATAAATAAACAAATATATATATATATATATATATATATATGTATAACCATATCCTGATTATTACATCTTCCATGAGATAGTGCAAGTCAATTTTACCTATTTTGAATTCAATCTTATAGCATATTTCCCGTGCACCTCTTTAAAGTTATGTATAAAGGAGGTTTTTTTCATCATATTAAACCAAATTCTGGCTTGCCTTATGAATATTTTGTATTATTAACATTTCCAAAACTTTCATTTTGCCATGATAGCTTGTTCAAATGCTGACATTATAACATAAGGACTCATAGGTTCTGGAACATTAGTGTTTCAATCTAGAAGACCGGTGATATGATCAGGAAAAAGAGGAATTGTACCAAATAAAAAAGAGAGAGAGAAGTAAAATCAAAATCAGGTCTCTTATCAAGCTACAGCTTATTAGTTTCATTATTTCTCTGAAATTTTCAATATGAGACTTACTGGAGTCCACTTTACAGCTGTAGATACATGAGCAGGTACTGCCCTTTCTACATCTGGAACTGGGGCAAATCTTGATAGTCCAAAATCAGCAACTGTTGCAGTGAACCTTGAATCCAGTAGTATGTTGCTGGCCTTGATATCTCAATGGAATATGGGAGGATCAACAAAAACAAGCACCTTCGTAGCAAAACAAGATACTAAAAGAATGAATATAACATACCAACAAATTGTTGCACCGTTGTCCTCAAATATAAACACGTAAGGCTGCTGAAATCAACCAAGAAAATTAACAGTGTAGCTCAGCATATCAGGTTCAAAATGTTTGAGGTGCCAAAAGTTGAGAGCATTGAAAAAGTTTAAATCACATTTGCTCTTTTTAGTGCTTACAGACAAGGCTTCAGGGTAAGTGAAGTCATATTTGAGACAGAAAGATGTTTTAATTCATATATTTTTCTTTTCAATCGTTAATATATTTAAACCAATGTTTGTGCATTCCATTGCTTGTCATTTTGCCAATATTTTCCCGCTAATTCAATTTTGTATAGTAGAACCTACATATATGCACTACAAATTGCAATGCTTCCTCCTAATACTTGAAGGCTTCCAGGTTTGAAATATGGTCAGCTTAGAAAACAACTTCACGATCAATTATATGAACATTTCACATTGCTTTATCTGCCCACTGCTGATGCAGAAGTTGTTCGATTAATCTGCAACTTTTCCTTCCACAGCTTCCAGGCATTACTGACTTCATTCAACTGTGCGTCGGGAATGCTTGTGCTGGCATCTAAATTTCAACCCATTCTTTCCAGGTTGGAAGGGTCCAAGAATTTTGAAACTTGTGGCAACATTACAGATGTGTAGAACTTGTTAACTGCCTTGAGGATTTCTTCTGATTCAACCAATGTCAGCATTTCAGGTCTTGTTATTATATTACCAGGCATCTTTCTCAATGTGAATGTGTTCCCCTCAAAATTAGAACTTCAGGTGCAGCAAGCGATAAGACAATCCATGAGAACTTGGTTAGTGATAACATTAGAATATCTCTTGGGAGCAACTTGCTCTTCACAGCCACAGCAGTACCAACCATTTTGTGGATCTGGTGCAATATAAAGTGTTTAATGTTATAAACCTTGTCAAATAGCTCACAAAAAATGATGCATGCCAACCTAAATTTTTCTTCTTTAAATTTCTTCTCCAACACAATAAAGCAACTAAATGATGGCAACTAACAGTTTTAAAAACTTGAGCAAAATAAGATTAACTGGTTTTCGAAAAGATACTGCAGAAATAAAAATGGGAAATAGAACATACATGTGCTTCCTACTTTAATGATTTCAAAAGGTTTGCCTGATGTAACATGAAAGACTCCCTCCATATGGAAATTTCAAAGTAATCAAATCCCATTGAATTCTCCAACCTTTAACAAGAACAGCGAAAAATTTTCCTAAAGTGGGAAGCTGTTATTCTGTCTCTCTTGTCAGGTTCATATAGCCATCTTGCTCGAACCATGTTGGAACTTTGATCCTTCAAACCATTACCCTGACTGTCACAAGAGTAAGCCAGAGGTTCACCAAAACCACTGGACGTTTCCTCATTAATTATTTAATGTAGTTGTTTCATCGTTCTTGGAATCTTCTTCTACATCACTTTCCTCTAACTCAGAAGTTGATGATTCATCACGTGATTTAGCTCTTATTGGCATACGACCATTTCTAGCAGTTTATCTAGGAGGAATTCGTCTTCTGTACTGTGACCTTCGAGTATAATTATGGAAAGGGTGTTCACCCTAAAAACTATCCACAAGATACTAATATTATACTTGATATTCACATATGGAATTGGATAGTGGATACGAGGGCCATAAGGCTATTTGTTATTTTAGCCCCTCATTCTGATCTCTGATATGTATTAATTGCCTATTCATTCAGGGTTTAGGGTTGATACACAGAGACGCCACACTGAAAGAGCAATTCCAAGGCAATAGGTTGTTTTACCATCCTTTACTTCGCTAACACTTACGTGGATTTGTATGGCAATGAGATTAGATTCGGTTAAATTAAAAATAGTGAGGAAAGTAAAAATTAATTATTACAACGGTAGGGTTAAAATCAATAATGAAAAATGTATTTGATTATATATACAATAGTGAATTGAATTATGATGAAAAAAAAAATGATCATTAAATATATTAGATTAAATTTTATATATAATAAAAATTTTAAGTAATTTAATATTTATAAAATAAATAAATAATTTTTAAACTATTTTTATGATAAACAATAATTTATATAAAAAATAATAAAATTATTTCACAGTTTTAAATAAAAAATTAAAATAAAAAATAAAAGGAGTCATTCTTCTCAACACAAAATTATTTACCATTGAAGATCTAATGAGTCAAGCCAAAATAATTGCTTCTATTTATTGGAATGGCTGTCACCGCAACGAAGCCACGATTTTCAAACATAGTGACCAATGCAATTGATTTCATTTGAAGGCAAAAATCTCATCGCATTGAAATTACGGTGAGATCCAAACTGGCCCTTAGAGAGTAACCTAGTCCAAGATACATTTTGAATATACAAATTAATAATTTAGTGTTTGAATATACAAAAATTATAATGATTGGATTATTATGTTTGATAAGTATTTTATGATTTTATATGATAGTAATTTTAAATCACCAAAAGTGATTAGATATTTTAAGTGACGATATTTTTTATATTCAAAAAAATAAAAAAATTTTATCATCAAAATAAAATGATATATAAATTTAATAATAGTCAATATTATTCATTTAATGTGTAAATTAAAATTTTATTTTTTTCTTAAAATTATAATTATTTTATATTACTCATTTATATGTTAAAAACTTATTTTTTCTTAAAATTGTAATTATTTTATATTTTTAAATTAATATTCATAACAAATTTAAAAATAATTTGTATATTTTTTACTTTTTAAATATTTTATTTATAATATAATTTTTTATAATGACTTTAATAGATTATTTTTATTTTTTAATTTGAATATTTGTTTACATAATTTATATTATAAAAATTAATTTACCTAAGAAATAAATATATTTATTAATTTAATAATTTAATCATACTTTATTATAAAATAAACAAAATATTAATAGATTTTACAAATTATTATTTTTATACTTTTAAATAAAATAATATTTAAATTTTAGTAATCACAATGATATTTAATTCCTATAAATAAATAATTATTGACTAGATAAAGTAATTTCAATACCTTAATAATAAGACTACTTTGATTATTACATTAACATACTAATCTTAAAAATAATATCGAATACTAGATGAAAATGAGAATGAGAATACGCCTTCCTTTCTTAAAAATATTAGAATATTTCTAAACAGAAATAACTGCTAGGAAAAATGTTAGGTGTCTGGGAACATTAAGCATTTAACAAATCCAATTCTGGTTTGCATTCCATTCCCACGCCTGAATCCTGATACACAACTATCAATCAAAACTGCTACGTCATTGCGTATTTCCTTCCACCCTTTAAACTAACATTCTGTAGAAATGATCTCCAAAATAACGCCTACTGTAGCTGTGAGCCACACTTACCAGCAACATCTTCATCGCTGGAACAGTTCTGATTACTAATTTTTCGTCTAGGACGAATTAATATAACATTTTGGAAGAATTTACGCATGCAGGTCCTTGTTCGAATTCCATACAGGAGATTTTGGAACAACACCATCACTCAACATCCCACTTCCATTGTCCACACTTATCAGAGGGTCAGATTCACTTTCCTTAACCTGCATCATTCAAGAAAGAGGAAAATAGGTCAGCAAACATTCCTAGATGTCAGAAAAACAAGGATCACATATAACAATTTGTTTGGCGAGTTCATTAAAACAACACAAACGGACACAAAGAACTACCTGTGGCAACTGTGCTGATACTTCACTAGCCTTCTGCTGCTGGCTCTCAACGGTGCAATAATATGAATAAAGGACCATTCCAACTACTGCAATCAAGATTCCCAAAATGTTGCGCCAGCTAAATGGATCATGAAGTAAAACATAACCAAAGGCCAAAACAAGGCATGTTTTCAGATGTCCCAGGACCTGATATGTGACAGGAGATGTCTTTCCAATTACCAGAAATGTGCTAAAGTTAACAGAGACGGATATCAGGCAGGACAGAACAATGAAGAACTGCAACAATAATTGCACATTAAAACAATTAGAAGCAAGCAAATACAAGAAAATTATAGTACTACTAAATTTTCTCTATTTCATTTTTTTTAATTTTTTTTGTTTATTCAGGGGGATGGGGTTATTTGGAATTTTTCAGCAATGATTCCATTCTTACCAGCACTTGAGGGGTATACTTGAAAGCAAAAACATTGTGGTTAGTCAAAAGCCCGTCCAGGAATGGGCCAATGACGAACAACGTTATTGCCTGATAAGGGCAAGACTGGTAGAGAAGTTGGGTTGAAGATACTTTGAACTTCTTCTGAATGGTATTAGTCATCTAAGAGGAATGAGTTAAGAACTTAAACAACTGAAAGAGTTTTGTACTTAGAGAAAGAAAAACCTATTGATGCAGCACAAATTTAACAGTTCATTCGTTGTTTCAAGACATCCAAATAAATGAGAGAAATAAAACATGAAAAGAAATAGCAAATATCACTCTAGCCAAGGATACAATTTGAGCGACGCAAGTAGTAACAACCGCCAGCAGAGAAAGGATAGAACCCAGGAGATTCAGCTGAAGATCAGTTACAGTTGCAATTCCAACACCCAGAAGTAGAATGGCCAATGAAAGCTGGATATTCCTACTGCAATAGCATATAAATGTATCAAAACAAAGCCATAACAAATAAATTAATACTTCCAAATAATAGCAGGAATAAACTGCAAATAAAACCTAAACCCACTAGCAAATTACAAAATAAAACAATTAAAGAGTTCTTTGACCAAAAGGAGTTTAGATAGAATCCAAGAAAGAAATTTTGGATTTTAGCAGATGAATAAAATAATCCCAAACTAGAATTTCAAGTGTCTATAAGCACGGAAGGTCCTCATCATCCTCTGATAGAAAGAGGAGGAATTATGATTTTATCCTACCTTTTAGCATTTAGCAGAAAACAGTCACGATCAAGGCTTTCAATTCTTTCTTGTGAGCATGTCAGCACTAAGGGTGTAATTGATCGAATTTGAGCCGATACAATATCAAGCTCGAGCTTGAGCTCGATTCAAAATTTGAGGCTCGAAACTCGGCTCAAATTCGATTGAGTTTTAATTTTTTAGTTCGAGCTTGACTTAAGATAGAAATTGAGCTCACTCGAGCTCACTCGATTAGGCTTGATTAATATGTAAAAATAAGCTCGAATTATTTGTACTTGAGCTCGAACTCGAGTTTGAGATATTTTATTAATTAAAATAATAAAAATATATTTAAATATAAAAGCTCGATTAGGCTTGTGAGCTACTCGAGCTGGGTATAATAATACTCGAACTCAGCTCGATTGATGAGTCGAGTTAATCGAGTTCGAGCTCGACTGGATAATAATCAAGCCGAATTCGAGTTTTATTCGAATCAAACCCGAGTAGCTTACGAGTACTAATGTATCATTTACACTCCTAGTCAACACCAGAAAATGGCCCCTAAGCTAATCAATGCAATTTCTAAACCTCTAAAATAATATATTACTAAGATTAATTTCAAGAAACCACAGTTGTGAGAGACCAAAATTACAAGAACATGAAAGAACATCAGTCATAGGAAGAAACAAGCATGCTCATAACTGACCTGAATTTCTTCCTGAAGAAAAGTGTCTCCAAAAGAACAGTGCAAGGGATAATTGCCAGTTTTGTCATCTAAAATACAGAACAAAAGGACACAAATTTTCAGGTTCTGATGCTCCTAATCTTCTTGTAAAAGATACCAAGAAGGGCTAAACTTTGAACTGGAATAGTACTAACTACTAACAGATTCCATATCCCAACATGCTGTAAGAACAAAGTATCATTCTGTATGAATTCCGTTGGAATCAGCCGAAACTTGGACATGACTTACATATGATTCAAGGGGGTAATGACTGGAAAATAGAAATTTACCTGGTAGAAACCAACAGAATTGAAACCCAAACTAAGATTCAAAAGCCCAATGGATATCCCATTTAATATACCAAATCCCATGACAGCTCTGGCATCAAAAGGCTTGTGCTCAAATAATTTCATCCATAAGGCTACATGAAGAGAACAAAAAGTGACTAGGAGATGCCAGCTTGTCAAAGTTGTGGCTGCAGAACCCAGACAATAAATTAGCATAAATAATCAAGTAATAGCATGCAAGCAAAGATGTGACATTTTTATGATGCTTTTTCCAGTTAATCACATTTATTATAATAAACTATTAGCTTGCATCTCACACTTTGAGAAAAAATTTTCTTCTTATGACAATGAGGAAATGAGAACATCAATCATCAAATTGTAACTAAAATGATGTAGCAATAATTGCATGGAACCACCATATAAAGATTAGATACCCTGAAGAGTCTATCACTGACAAGAAGTTAAAATCTAAAAGAAAAATAAGTATATAATGAGATCAAAACAATTAAATAGGTTAAGTTGCCACATAAACCTTATAAACTCTTGGAGCTAACTAAACTATTCTTTTTGAACATATAATGTTAAAAGTATTTCAAATAAAAAATCAGTTGGCTCATATATTATGTTATATATCTGCAACAAATAACTCGCAACAAATGAGGCACGGGATGGAAGCCAAGATTGTTTCTCTTAATCAATTGTGAATTCATTTGATCACTTAGACAGGCACTCATATGAGCACCAATCTGATGTGCCCTCAATTGATGCTTACAAATAGTAATTGACAGTAATCCCTCCTTGATCATTTTTGTACTTAAATAGATTCTGATTCTAATAACTTACCATCTCCTAACTTCCTTTTCAAGGGATTGATATTTCTAGAGCATGCATTCTAATGTTGCATGTAAAGAAGCAGATCAATTCATAATTTCCGCATTAACAAAAAAGACAGCAATTGACAGTCCATTCAACTTGTAATTTTGAGACAAAATGACAATTTTGCTTAGAATATATATTCAGCATCTTAATCTTATCAGTAGAAAACTAAAACCATCTCTAGTTATAGTGATCGGGTCGCATAGTTGATAGAATAAATAAATCAGACAAGAAAGAAAATAAAGACATTATTTTTGACGGCATCCGAAATCCAAAATTCTAGAGGAAAAAAGGGAGGTGCCCAATTCTGGTGAAGGATCAAAAGCAATAAGATATCCTAAAAATTAGGGAATCCATGTGAAAAAAAGAATCCAGCAATCGGAGAATTAAGTGATAGAGATAAAGAAGAGGTTGATTCAAACTCACCAAAGGTGAAGCCGAGAGTGCTGATAAGAGCCTTGTTGCAAATAACAATGGACACCGAGGAGACCACCGATAAACTCAAAGCACCTATTGTCCCCAGCTGAAACTTGTGGTTGTCACTCATTTTTTTTTCCTTTAGAATTTTTTTTGTCAACTGTGACCCAGATTTTGTTTGTCAACTGTGATCCAGATCTACTTAATCGATCACATATATGTATTGAATCCTCGTCCTAGCTCATTGGCACTTAAAATTGCCGACTGAAAACGGTAGAGAATCAAATGTGGGAGCGGAGCTGCTTCAACTGCAGATATGCCCAACAAGCAAATGAGATAAGAAAAATGAATATAGAAAATAGAGCATGAAAGAAACCTAGATCTGCTGCATTAAAGGAAGGATGAGGGAGAGAGTCCGACAGAAAAAGAAATCTGAGAAACAGACAGTTGCATATAAATCCTTCGGTGTTATGGGAATGACCTGTTTCCCTCTTTTGCTTCTTTTTGTTTTTTAAATGAAATATAGTAGTAATACAAAATGAAAATGACAGAACGGAGGATGAGAACGGAGGGGAGATAACTTTGGAATGATTTTTTTACAGAAACAGGCGGTTGTAAGTGCAGAATTGCTTTACATAATTTTTCTTTAAATAGAAAATAAATGGATGAATGATGGAATTGGTAGGCCCAATTTTAAATTTCTTTATTTTTACGTTGCTGACGTGTTTGTCTGTCCATTGTATTTTTGAACCCAGGGCCGGCGGGGCCAGGCTGTCAGCGGTCGGTGGTGGTTGACAATGGATTTTTACTTGTAATTATGTTTACGTTTATTTTGCTAAAATTGATTTTAAAAAGATATTTTTAAAAATATATTTGTATTTTTGTAAAAATAAATTTTTTATAATTTGAATGAGTTAATAAAAAATATTATTATAAAAATTATTAATATTTAAGAATAATTATATTTTGATAATAATATTTAATATTAAAATATTATATTAATATAAAATATTTATTATTCTTTATATTAATATTTTAAAATATTTAAAAATAGTATTATTATTCTTAAAATATTATTTTTATTAAAATTAAAATAGTAATATATATTATTAAAATATTTATACTATTAAACTATTTATGTTTTATATTGAAAGTATCTATTATTAAATTATAATAAAAATCTTTTTTATTTATATTTATTATTAAAATTGTAATATAAATACCATAATAAAAATATAAAATTATATATTTTAAACTAAAAAATAAGATTTTAAAAATATTATTATATTATTTAACATTAATTATTAAAATAATAAAAATATTATTATATATTTTAGTAATTATTATTAAAATAATGATATAATCCTATTTATTATTGAAATATTAAAATATTTATATTTAATAATATACAAAATTAAAATATTTAAAATTAAAATATCAAGAGACTTTTAATGTTAACATTTTAATTTTTTAATTAATAATATAATAATATTTTAAGTCGAATCAAATCAAATTTGAGTTTAAAATATTATATTTAAAGTTTTATTTAAGTAAAATTATAAAAGTATTTAAAATTAAAATATTAAAAGACTTTAAATTAATATTTTAATTTTTTAAGTAAAATTAAATAAAAATATTATTTATTAATATTTTCATAATATTTAAGTTAAGAGAACTTATCCATTAGATACAAAAATTATGGAGTCATCATTATTTTTTTTATTTACATGTGATTGGTCATATATGTAAATCTATCTTTTCTAAGGTTGTCCTAAATGTAAACTAAGGATCTCTAAAAATAATATGTTCTGATCTACATCATCAAAATTAGGGTTTGAGAGATTGGTTACATGTAAGAAATGTATTAGTACCCTTTTACATCAAAATTTAGTATCCAGTTAATTATATGTTATTTTACCTAAGCTTCATTAAAGATGGTTTTATCATATAAATAAATCAATTTCAATCATTTTATTTATTTACAAAATATGGTGATATAAAAATTTTATCAAAATATCAAGTAATCATGTAATTATGCAATAAATATTAAATCATACCATACAAAAATTATAATACAAATATATTATAAATATCATGTAATAATATCATGCCTAAATTATACTAAAATATTCATATAAGAATGTCATGTAAATATATTAATTATCATGCAATAATAATGATCATGTAAATATAAAATATCATGCAAAAATATTATCATTCAATAATGTCATAAATATAGATCCAAAAATCTATAGCTAGATTTAATAAAATGGAGTTGCCACTAATTGTTTTTAACTAGATGTGAATGGCCACCTAAGGAATCTATCCTTTTAAGGAGCTCCTAAGCTTGATTAAAGGTTCCTAAAAGAATAGGTTCGAATTTACTTACTAGAACAAGGTTAGAGAGTCGGTTACATTTGAGGAAGGTTATAGCACCCCCACATGCCCATCCGAATGATGATACCATATTATTTTAAATTTATCATAGGGTCTTGAGTTTAATGGTCTTAAAATGTTTATGTTAAAATATTAAAAATAATTTATAAGATTCTTCCATAAATCTGGTAGAATTCTTAAAAATATTTTCACACCTCAAGAATATTCAAGAATCTTATTTGATATCTTGAAGAGGCTCTGTCGTCGAAAGAGGTTTCTTTATTACATTTTTTTATCGAAAATATATCTAATTATTTCACCATTTTAGCCAAATTAAAAATATTTCCTTGTTTTGAATTTCTAAGTTTTCCACCATTTGAGCCTATTTAGAATTTTTTTTATTTTTTTTATTTCTAAATTTTTCACAATTTGGGTTAATTTAGAAATTTTTTTTTTGAAATTTCTAAATTTTTCATTATTTGGGCTTATTTAGAAATTCTTTTTTTTTTTGGAAAGAAAATAATATTACAATTATTTTTATAGAAATTTCATTTAAATTATTCCACCATTTGAGACAAATTTAAAGAAAATTTCTCACATAGAGATTTCTTAAAAATTTACCATTTGAAATTTCTAAGAATCTCATCATTGGATAATTATCAAATATTTTCAACCTAAATTTTTATTTTTTATTTTTTTATTCTTTCTGTTTGAAAATAAATATTAATTATTGTTATTGAAACTTTATCTAAATTATTCCACCATTTGGGACAAATTTAGATAGAATTTCTTACCTAAGAATTTTATAAAAATTTACCATTTGAAATTTTTACAAATTCCATCATTGAATAATTAATATTTATTCTTAAAATCTATTTTATTTTTATTTTTTTAAATTATACAAAAATACTAAAAAAATAAAAAGAGTACAAAAAAATAACAAAAAAAAAGAAACGGCTCAATTTAACGGTTCAGCGTTGCTCGACTTCAGAGACAGAAAACGGCTCGACGACTTGACTCGGGACCTCAGTTAGCTCGGCTTGGTTAGGTTGGGGCACAGGTTGGCGAAGCGGGTTGCGCTCGGATCGGGTTGCCCGTTAGAAAACGCACGGATCCTAGAGTTTATTAAACTTCAAAACGACATCGTTTTAGCAGCATATATAAGGCTAAAATCTTAGCCTTTTCAACAGATTCCATTTTTCTTTTCTCTCTCTTCCCATTTTTTTTCTCTCATTTCTCTTTAAAACCAGATGAATTTTGGTTGAATCTTCATTGGATTCTGAAAAATATCACCAGAATCTAGGTTGAGTCTCCAAACGGTCGTCAAAAAATTCAATCGATGCTAGAATCTTTTATCGAATTTTGGAAATCCCATCGAAAAATTCAATCGATGCCAAAAAACTCAGCGAAAAATTCAACTGGGACTGAAAAATTCACCGAAAACTAGAATTTTTTCAAAAAATTTCTAAAAATCTGGGATTTTCTATATTTCTTCCAAAAAACCCCATTTTGTTTTCTAAACCCAAAAATCTTAAAAATTATTTTTACAACTTTTTGCTTGCTGTGTTTTTTGACTCCTACTTTCTTATTTTCTCTGTGTCCTTTTTATTCTAGCCGTGTATGTATTTATAAGACCACATTAGAAGAGTTTTTGATCAGATTTTCTCATTACTAGAAAGCTTGAGAATTATCCTAGAAAATTAAACCAATTGCAATTCTGCCAGTGTCTTTGCACGACAGGATTTGCATTTTCACTTTTTTTTAACTAATATCCTATTATCCTAAAATAAAATAAATAATAAAAAAAGAATAAGAATAAAAATAAAATAAAATAACAAACATCTAGGCCTAACTACTTGGCCCAATTGAATCGGGCCCAATGGGCTTAAGCCCAAACCCCGTTGGATAAGGCCCAATGGGTTTGGGCTCGGACCAATTAGGGTGTCTATAGCTACTCCTCTTTGCACATTTTTTATGAAACAAGAATTATGCAAAGACGTAGACACCTAATCAAAACTCAACCCAACACTTCTATTATTATTGTTTTTTAATTAAACAAAGCTCCTCTAAATAGAAGCTAAATGACTTTGAGAAAAATAAAATGCTCATTGACAATCATGTCCAGAGGAGTCATAGGTCAGATCTAAAATTTGTAATGGAAACTCAAGGATTCACAATTTGAGTTCAAAAATCAAAGGTTCAGATTTGCAATAATTCACTGAAATTTGATTATCAAAATTTCAGTTTCACAAGAGTTTGATTTGTAAAATCTCAAGATTCGTATTTGTAAATTGTAAGATTTGCACCAACATTTAAAGATTCTTATTCGAATTTTGGAGATTCTCATTTAGAAGTTCGAATTTTGGAGATTCTCATTCAAGTTCAAAGGTTCACCTTCAAGAAATCTTAAAGTTTCAAATCTTAGAGATTTGCATCCAAAAGTTGAGTTCAAAGCTTTCGTTTGAATTTTAGAGATTCATATCCAACAGTTTAAAACTTTTCATTCTAATTTGAAAATTCACATCCGACGAACTTTAGAGTTTCACATTTCAAGGATTTTCATTTGAAAACATCTTAAAGATTCTCATTTAAAACTCAAGATTTCAATTCTGAAAAACGTCTTAAAGATTTTCATTTAAAGATTCTCAAAGCATTGATTTCATTTGAAGATCCATTAAAGTTTGATTCATGCTAGTTCATTTATTTAGATTCTCTTACAACTTGTTAAAGATATTGCCTTTTCTAGATGACTTTAATCAAAATCAAAATTTTATATGTAATGGATGTCATGATCAATTATGCAAATGCTTTCTTAATGATGCAAATGCAACAATCTAGCTCCTTACAATACTACAAATGTCATATTTTCAACCATGAGTCAAATGTTTAATGCATAATGCAAGTGCATAGCCAAACCAAAGTTTCAAATATTCTACAAACAATAATGCAAATGTAATACGGATGTCCATGTCATGAAATTCTAATTAATTGTGGTAATATGGTTCTCAATACCCCACCATCTCTCATCTTTCTTTTCTAACTTCTCAACATTAACCATTTAAAACAAGTTTCGTCAATTGATACCTGACTACAATTCATAGGCCTTTCAGCACTAACAATATCATTCGATCACAACTCATAAGTTATGTCGACCAATTCATCCTTATATTCATCACTTGGTCATCACTCATAGATTTCTCAATTATAGCTGTTTCGAAACAAATTCTGTCTATTGATCCACATTATTTTCATCGTTT